TCCCCTGAAGCCTCTCTTGCGGCATTTAGCATAATCATCCATGAAACAGAATGACTTTTCCACCAGAACCTACATTTCTTGGGTGTTTCTGGCTCAGCTCTCAACCCCTGATATTCTAGTGTTCTATTCTAGTGTGCTGTGCACAGGATATGCTCCCCTTGTTTGTGGAACTGGGAGAGCGTGGAGCCAGGGGATGCCTAAAAGAACGAGAGAACACCTTAGCAGACATCTCCAAAACAATGCCCCTCTCCCTCCCACACCAGATAGCCTTTGAATGTCTGGGGCCAGTCAGCTGTAAAGGATCATCCCCCAAAGCTCTGCTCGGTCCTCAGCCCCAGCTCTTCAGCCAGGGCTCCTCTATCTGGAGACCAGGGGACTGGCTGGGGTGGGAGGTGTCCATAAACCTTTGCCCTCAAAGGCCACATTTAGGGTGTCCATGCATGTGGGTATTTTCTGGGGAGAGGATCCCCAGCCTTCAGCAGAACTGAAAAGGAGTCTATGACCTCCTTCAAAGTTAATACTTAGCATCTCTGGACCACCTCCCCCTGCCCCACCCCCAGCTTCTCTCGCCTTGAACAGCCAACCTCACTCACTTATAAATAGAAACCCTCTCTGGACACGTATCTGGAGTGACAGGACGGCCCCAGAGTGTGAGCAATGAGCAGAGTCATCACCTGCCCTGTCCTCTCTCAGCCTGCAAGGCCGTCTACCCTGGTCCCTCCCCCACCTCTCCCTGTCTACGGCCCAGGAGACCACTGGGCTACATGTAGCTCCCCTCTCCCCACATGCTGTTGTCCCTCTTCTAGAACATGAGACTAGCACCTGTCCCCCACCCTACCATGACCCAGAGCCAGGAAGGAGATGTTAGGAAGCTCCTGTATCTCCAAGGCCCCACTCCTGCACTCTCCCCTCTTCCTGGAGAGGTCTGGCCCCAGTGCAGACCCAGGTGAGACACAGAAGAGAAGGCAACCTCTTTTCTGAGCTCCAACAGTCTGCTGGATATGGTCAGGATGACTTGCAGGCACCTTGTATGCAACACGTCCCCCAGCCCACATCTGCTCAAGCCACATTGCTCCTACCCCAGGTAGAAACCTGGGTGTCATCCTTGCTGCCTCCTCTCAACCCACATTTCCAGCTGATTGAGTCCTGCAGATCCAGCTTCCAGCCAGCTCTCCCCAGCCCTCTGCTCTCCATTTCCAGGGATGAAGATGTAGTATGAACTGCCTGGACCACTGCAGGAGCCCTCATACTGTGCCCTACCCTCCACCTTCACTGGCTATGTCCTCCTCTTCCTTCAAACTCAGCCCAGAGGTCATCTCCTACATGGAGCCCTCCCTGAATTCCTTCTCCAGTCTGGGTTAAGGGCTCCTCCTCCATGCATCCCTCTCTGAGCATGTGCCACATCAAGTAAATATGACTGTTTACTTGTTGTGACCTCTTTAAAAAGAAGGACAGTGCCTTGAGCCCAGTGGTGTGCTGGAGCTGTTTCTCACTGGCTTGGGAGGACCAATTGTCCACGTCTCTTCCCAACCCCACATTCAGTGGAATCGTGTTGGTAGCTTAAAACCAGCTATGGTGGGAGCATTTACACCATGGAAATTGGCAAATGCTATAGATCAGGACTTCATTATTTTAGAAGGGCTGGTTGTTAAACATTTACCAGTAAATCACTGCTTAGGTCCAACTCCAATGCAAAAGGACGAATTGGGAAAAGGTTCTGGGCTCCATGTACCGCCCTGAGCGGATGGGGCACACATGTAGGCTGGCCCCATATCAGATCACACTTCAACATCAAGTCATTTTCTTGCTCTCTCCTCAGTCTCCTGGGTTCTTGTCCTCCTTACCAGCCCTCTGGACAAACCAATCCTGCCAGTTCTCCTCCAGCTGGTGGTTAAGGCGTGGAGGAAGCAGGAGAGAGAAGACAGCATGGGGCCAGCCTCGGGTGGAGCGGCGTATGACATATAGGTGCTTCCTCAGTCAGGAGGATGGTGGGATAGCACAGGTTGGGGGGACAGGACAAGTGAATGAGGAGTCAGCCAGGGGATGGTGGGAGAGGACAGGGTCTGCGGAGGGCAACGGTGATAGCCGGGAGGGAGGGCAGGGGCTCCTCTGGCGAAGCACCAGCAACACCCTCTTCAGGGCCCCCCCAATCTGATCGATTCCAGGATCAATGGACACAATTGCCTCATTAAGGGCACCGCAGGGAAGCCATGAGCCTCCTCTGTCAGCAGCTGCTCTCCCTCCACACAGCGGCACCTCACGCAGCCAGCTCCAGGGGAGTCTCTGTCTCCCCATCCCACCCCATCTCTGTCCTCATTTGCATCTGGGACTCGGTCTCTGTCTTCAACTCCCTTTCTGTGTCTCTGTCTCCCCATGTGTCTCTGTGGCACCATTTGTCTCTGTCTATCTCTGCTGTGGCTCATCTCTGCCTCCACATCCTTTATCCGCTGCCTGCGTGTCTCTCTTCCCTGCCCTCCTTCCCCGTCTCCATCTTGCCCTCTGTGGCTCTGTCTCGCCCGCATCAGCCTCCTCTGTCTCCCTCTGCGTGTCCATCCCCCCATGTGTCTCTGTCTCCCTCTCTGTGCCCACTCTGTGTTTCTGTCTCAGCCCCCCACATCTCCTCGCTGCCTTCCCTGGCAACCCCCCGCCCCCAGCATGCTCAGGCTCCGGGGCCCAGATGGCGGGACGTTCACGCCGCAGTGCCTGCAAGCACAGGGCCATGGCAGCTTCTGGGACTTCTTACTCTCCGCGCCCCTGAGCCCGCTGGGCAGCTGTCAGTTATCTGCCCAGCCTGCTGGGGACTCCTACTCACCCCTATGGGGCCCTCAGCAACCAGGTATGGGGACAAAACCCTCCCTGGAGCAGACACTGCTGCCACTGAGTGAGGCCTCCGCACTGCTGAGGACTTAGGAGCCCTGGGCTGTCCCCGCCCTTCCTCAGGAACCTGAGCAAGGAGATGGTGCAGGCAGCCCTGACTGATGGCTGCTGCCTCCTCTCCAAACGGGTGTCCTTCTTCACGTTTAACTGAAAGCCCTCTTGCCGAGGCTTCATCTGCCCTGGGTCTGTGTGACTCAGCTTCTTCCCAGTGCAATCAAAACCTCCACCAGCAGCATCAGCTGGGCAGGGGCGGCTGGGTGGACCCCCCAGGTGTAGGGAGAGGGCGCTTGGTGAGGTGCCCCCTGAGGGAGGGGCACCTGACCATGGCCAGAAAAGGGGTGAGGGAAAGGAGCCTGAGTAATGGGAGGTTAGGGGCTGTCACCACCTGGGTCCTGGAAGAAGAAAATGCTGCCCACTCCCCACCACCACCAATCTGGCAGAGTGGAGCACCTCTCCCTGGGAGGCTAGCAGAGTGGGCATGTGCACACACAACCACACCCACGCAGCCCAGACACAACATGCCCATCGTGGTGTTATGCGCACCCACCTGCTGGCACTGCAGCCAGGGTCCCAGGCTCTCTCCACCTCATGGCTGCTTGGAGGGGGCACTGTGGAGGCTAGAGGAAGGGACGCCAATGTGCGGTGATGGTGATGGGGAGGGGTGCACCTGGCCAGGTCAGGCAGTATTGGGTAAAAGCTGGGTGCTCAAAATATTGCAGGTGCAGACTTCATTGGGGTGGCGGGGGGCTTCGAATCCCCCAGAAAAGCGAACACCTCACAGTCTGCTCCAGACCTAGCTTGACCTGTGCCCCTCAGCCTCAACCCAGACCTCCCAGCATGCCTGTACCACCCTGCCTGTACCACCTGCTCGAGATGCCCCTTCCACAGAGTACTGTGCTGGTGTAGGAGCCACTCCACACCTCTGGTCTCCTCCACCTCTGCTCCTGATTGGGAGGGTGTGGAGGTGCGGAGGTGCGTGACCTTTGTTCCAAACCAGGGAAGGTTGGGTTCTGAAGGCCCAGTGCCTCCGTGCTGCCCCAGGGAAGCCAGAACACCCAGGCGAGCAGAGCCTGGGCAGACCATGAACTGCAGCACCTGCTTGCTAGCCTCTCTCCTTTTCCAAGAATCAGCCACAGGGGTGACCTGGAAGGCCAGACTTGGGGGAGGGGGAGCGACTTCTGGAAAGAACCCTGTGGAAGAGGGAGCCAAACCTAGTTGTGAGGACCCATGGTGCCTGCTTGGACCCCCAACAAGCATGCAGCCTCAGCTCATGGTGGGGGATCAGTGGGGTCCCCCAGGCTACCCTTTCTGTCTCTGCATAGCTCTAAGGGTTAGAAAAGCCTCCTCCCCCTCAGCCCAGATCCTACTGCTTGCAGCCATCAGCCCCACAAAACAAGCCTGCTTCCTCTTCCACATGACAGCCCTTCAAATATTTGAAGACAGCTTGCCTGTCCCTGCTGAGCCTTCTCTCCTCCTCACTAAACATCCCGGTTCTTAGAACGATTCCTCAAACGCAATGGTTTCAATCCCCTTGCCATGCTGGCCACTCTCATCCACCCTAAGCTGCCCTGGTTCACAGCATGGCTCCCAGACGGGAGGCCAGGAAGGACAGCCTCCCTCCCTGACCCCAACAGGCCTTCATTCCACCCAGGCGCAGGCACCCACCCTTCCCTCTGCACCCCGTTCACATGGCCCCTCCTGCCTCCAATCAGTCACACCCAGACTTAGTGGGTCAGATGGATGCCAGGGAGCCTCCAACACCCCCACTCCCCACTATACCTTCTCCAAAGACCCAAACCTCTCCCAGGGACGCGCCTCTCCCCACGTGCGGACGCTCACCACTTGTTCACATCCTTCAAAGCCAGGCTCCTCTGAGAAGCCTTGCCGGGTAGAACATACCCTGTGGCCTGCCCAGGGTGACCTCCATACTCAGAGACTTTAAACATTCCCTCTAGAGAATCTCCATGCATTGCTCCATCACCCACCTCCCCTCCTCCCTGCCAGGCTGGCTAGCAGCACGGAGAGGAAGCAGAGCACAGGAGGAGGGGTGCGGAGGGAGGTAGAAGGCCCCAGCCCCAGGCGAAAAGCAGCTGGCAGGAGCCCTGCCTCTGCCACACCCCTACCTGCTCATGGTATTCGATGCCCATGCTGAGTGTATTGACCAGGATGGCAATCATGATTCCCCGGCCAAAGTACTTGCTGTCCACAATCTTTCGGAAAGTGTCACAGATTAGCCTCCAGAAGGCCAGCACAGAGCTGGGCTCTGCATCTGGGCCCAGGCTCCGTTGCCGCCGGCTGTGGGGGTCCCGGAGGTCACTGTGCTGGGCATCTTGTGTGAACTCATAAACCGCCTCGCTGTCTGAGTCAGGCATTTCACGGTCGGCGAGCTCTACCTCCCCTGCCCCCGCCCGGGCACAGTAGGGGCAGCTGTCTGGACCAGAGGCTCCACTGTCTGCCTTCAAGCAAGGGCTGGAGATTTTGCAAGAGCTTTGGCAGGCACCTGGAACAGAAGAGTAGAGGTGAGAGGCTCCAGAGTCTCATACCTGGGGCTACCCTGCCCTTCAAGTATGTGTAAAATGAGTCAGGGAGTCTGGGGTTGTTACAGTGATGGGGTGCCAGGCACTTAGTGGGCTGGGGTGTAGAATGTCCTGCAAGGTGGGCAGTCTTGACCCACAAGACGCCCTGATGTCAATAGCACTTCATTGGCAGTCACTGCTGAGTGTCCTGGGGCTCAGAGAGGTGGCCTGGATGTCCTCTGAGATCCTGGACAGCTCCTACATCCTAGGCGACTTCAGCAAGGAGCCTCACTCCCCTTCCCCTTCCCAGAAGCCAGGCCTGCAAAACACTGCTCTGAGCAGCACTTTCCAAGGGATCCTTAAGACACGCCCACACACGTGCACTTGCACACACACCCACACCAGACACGTGCACCTGCACACGTGCTCCAGATGCACACACTTGTGTACACACTCATACTATTTGCACACCACCACATGGGCACACATACATGCACATACCAACACATGTGTGCACAAACACATTCACACACGACACATATGCCAGACACATGCACACATGTGCATGCACACACACCAAGGAAAGAGCTTCATATCGCACATGTACCTACACACATCAAGCACATGTGCCTACATATGCATATAAACATCAGACACATGCATGCACACATGCACACACACACACTTGACCCCTTCACGGACATTGACACGTACATGCATACTAGATGCACTCATGCACACACACTCAGGGACCTAGCCTGAGACATCAATGTCCCTTTAAATCCAGCTTTGCTCACAGAATATGAGAACCTCAGAGACTACCAGCTAAAGCATGGATGTGGAGGCCCCCAGCTGAGGGCCTGGCCCTGGGTGGGCTCTCAGCAACATTTCCCCCTTGACTGCATCTGCACACAGGAGGGAGTCAGTAAGCACCCACTGACAGTAATCATGGGCCCAGCCTTGCCTTTTACACAGGAGGAAATAAAATCGTGGGTGCATGTGACTGTCCCACGTCCCGTGGCAGGGTAGTGGAGGAGCTGGCATAGAAACCTTTCGCTCTGGGTTCTGTGATAGCACCTTCTGGTCCCAGCCCACATTCCCACGTAACATCCCCACGAATATCCCGCTGCTCCCCACGTGCCACATCCTTCCTGAAACACAGGCCGTGGGCTGCAGCTACAGTGAACCTGTCTGCTGGGGAGAGCCCGACTTTCCTATGTGTCTCACTGCCCCCACGACACTGGGAGTTTCACCCATCAGACAAGCAGCTCCCTGAACTGGGTCTCCCCGTGCGGAGGCAATGAGACTCAGGTTTAGCCAGTGGGGCATGAAGCTGGGCACAGTCACACACCATTTCCTCTCTGAGCCTCACAACGGGGAGTCCTGAGTGTGCGCCCCGAGTCCGCCCCTCACCAACAGCACAGCCTTGGGTGAGTCAAGCAACCTCTCCAAGCCTCCTGGTTCTCATCCACACAATGAGGATGCTAAGAAAGGCTATCACCTAATGGGTAGAGAGGATCCAATGGGATTTTGCCTGCAAAGCATGTGACAGGCACACAGCCATTGCGTTGTGCAACAGTTGCTAGACATTATTGCAAACAGCACGAAGCAGGTGCTTATTACATGATAGTTACTGCTATTACGATGTAGGAATTATGATTTCCACTTTAGCAGATGAGAAAATTCGAGCTCAAAGCAGGGATGTGACTGGTTGAAGGTGCCTAAGCAATGAGAGGCAGCATGAGAATATGAGCCCTGGTCCCTCTGACTCCAGACCCCTAGTCCCCTCGGGGATGCCACCTGATCCCCAGACAAGGGCACCCACACACCTCCCCCAGGAGCTGTCACCTGTACTCTGTGTCTCCAGCAGCTTGTGCATGGAGCTGTAGGGCCCGGGTGGGATGTTGAGGCTGGTGAGGGTTGCGGGCCCAGAGCTGGCAGCCACCTCTACTAGTGCCTTCTCTTTCAGCGTCTCCGGTGGAGGGCTGGTGTGCACGGTGGGATACACCTTCCCGCTGCCCACAGTCCTGCCGGATGCCTCAGATGGGGACCTGGGAGGGGGTGCCTGGCAGCGGACTGGCTCTAAGTGGCAGTCGGCATGGTAGAAGCTGTGCACAGACTCTGCGCCACCTGGGGGGCCCCCGGAGAGGGCAGGCGTCGAGGGTGGCGGCAGCATGAGCCGGCGGGACCCATTGGCATCCCTGTCCTGGATCTCTGGGCTGGCCCGGGGGACCCTGAGCGTTCCATTGCCCAGGTGGTAGTGGTGGTGATGGTGGTGGTGGTGGTGCACCAGGTGGTGGACGGACAGGCGGCGGTGAGAGCGAGAGCAGCTGCTGCTGGGCTGGGTCTCCTGGCCCCCAAGGGGTGCTGGGCTGCTGAGCAGCCCAGCTCGCACACCTGCTGCCCGAGAGACCTGAGCCAGCCTGCGGGCTGCCTTACGAAGGATGTACACCAGGTACTTGAGCAGCTCCTCATAGCAGCTGCCGGGCTCAGAGAAGCTAGCCAGGGTGCTGGCATTGGACAGGAACCGCACACGCTGCTCCCGCATCAGCTGGCTTTCCCGCTGCTTGGTCTCTGAGAACTGCGTGGCAATCACCACCAGGCACAGGTTGATCATGAAGAAGGAGCCCACCTGTAGGGGTGGGGACAGGAAGAGGAGACGTCCTGAAGAAAAGTGAATCACAATGCCAGCCACCACATACAGAGGAATTCCTATGCGCTAGGCGCCACGCTCAGTTATTTTCCAAGCATTATCTCATTTTATTTTTAAGACAACCTCAGAAGGTGATGCTGTTGTAATCTCCATCAGACAGGTAAGGAAACTGAGGCCCAGAGAGGTCAAAGCATTTGCCCAAGATCACTCAGCTAATTCAGAGCAAGGCTAAGACTGGAACCAAGCTCTATGAAATTCCAAGATGTTGCTGTTGAACATGGTGTTATCCTGCAATCTCTCAAATTCCCTGTCCCTAGACACGCACACCTGCAGAGACGCAGTACCCTTCTGCAATTTCCAATAGGAGTAGCAAATGCTGTGGAAACGAATGCAATATTAGGGACATGGGGTTTTCAAGTTATATTGAGCCTTGAGATCTTGGCGAAAACATCATTTACAAGACTCCTACTTCTGGCCCCAATTCTAGCTGTGTGACTTTGGGAGAGACCCTTAGCCATGGGACCACGTATCTTCATCTGAAAACAGGGACCATTGGCCTCGTCTGTCCCCGTTTTCCCTGTGCCCCCCTCCCTCAGATGGGGGAGGGGTTGAACCCTTGACCCTACAGACCAGTCAAGCTGCCACCTGACTTGCTCACACTCCCCCAGTCCCCATATCCATGCCTCAGTTTCCCCAGAACTCTGGAACAGCCATTGCTTGGATAACAATCCCGAATGAAGGAAATGAATATTTATGGTGACAAAGCAGATTTTTTTTTTTCTAGATCGTGTCCTAGTAATTATGATAATTAGCTTCACTAGTGTGATTCCAGAGAGTTGTTAGGAAAGATTTTTCAGGGGGTGTGTGGGAGGGTGGAAACTAGGCCCCTTATCTCCCTGTCTGCTTCCTTCCCCCTCTACCAAGCCCACGAGGGAAAGGGAGTGGGGTGGGGGGGGCCACATGGTGAGAAGACCCCACTTCCCTGAAGCACTGGCCTCGCCCCTTGAGGTGGTGGCCAGGGATGGGAACGGGCCTCCAGCCAGGCTTCGCCCCAAGCCTGCCCACTCTTCCGCACCAGGGGAAGTTACGCAGGCAGGAGGGGGTGGCCTTGGGGACTTGCTCTTTCTCAGGGCCTACCCTCTGTCTCTCACTCACCAGGAGCTGCCTCATTTTGTGTTCTTCTCTCTCTGGAGCTAGTCCTAGGTCCTGAGTAGATCTTAATCTTTCTTAATCTCTTTCTCTCAATATCTGTCCCTCTGTCTGGCTCTGTCGTTGGCCTCTTGGTGACATGGAAGAAAGGCTGAATGTGGAGTCGTTAGCCTGGGACTGAATTCTTAGCCCCAGCCACTTACTTTCTGTGTGATCTTGGCCCAGTGACCCACCCTCTGGGGCGCCAAGTTCTCATTTAAGAGATGGGGACCACAATCCCTACCCTGGCACCTCACAGGGGACGACGAGGATTAAACAGGCAGCAGATGTTACAGCATACGTCAGCAGTGATGCCCCACTCTTGGAGATTAATACACAGCATAGGCAAAGCGCCTGGTAGGGTCAGATAAATGAGGAAACGTCGGTTTCCTCATCTGTAAAATGGAGAGGATTACGGTGAGGATTAAATGCACCAGCACATTGAAAGTGCTTAGATCAGGGGCTGGTGCATAGTAAGTGCTCAATAAATATTAGCTCAAAGTGGTAGCGATGAAGTTATTAACTACGAATGGTAGTGATTAAAACTATTAAATATTGCTGCTTTTGCCTCCGTCTTCTGCCTTCCTAAAGTCTTGCAATTTCTGAACTGGCAGGAATAAGAGATCAGGCAGCATTTAACACCAATTGATCACTGATCAGAACTTTGGGTGGAATAATTCTTTATTTGCAAGCATTTCAGGATGTTTAGCTTCTCTCCCCTCCCCCAGTAACAAGTTGCCAATTGCACTCCCCTTGTCCTTATGAAAAACAGAACTCTGTGAACATGCTAAAAAAAAACCACTGGATTCATTCAAAGGGATGAATTGAATGATATGCAAGTCATGTCTCCATAAAGCTATTAAAAAAAATCAAAACCAGAATCACCCTTTCCCATTCCCAAGTGCCCTCTAGGGGAGGTGATATCATCTCAGAGTGAGAACCATCCATTTCACCCATGAAGAAACAGAGGTCCAGAGCAGTGCTGGGGGCCTCAAGAGGAATGACTTGCCTAAGGTTCCAGTAGCAGTAAGTCCCTCCTTGACCTTGGATTTCTTCCTGACTCCGCATCTGGTGTCCCTCCTACTACATGACAGATACCCTCTGTACAGGACTTGCCCTGAGAGCTGAAAACTTCAGACAGAACAAACTATCCCCTCTCTGGACTGCTCCCGCGGGTGTCCCCAGGATCACCCATCCCCACGGGGATCTGAGGAGTCACTCACGATGATGAGGAGGATGAAGTAGATGAAATTGTAGAAGGAATGAGCATCCATCACAAAGTACATGATGTCGACCCAGCCCTCCAGCGTGATGACCTAGGGGGTGCAGAGGGGCAGGCTGACTATGGGCCCACCAAATCCTCCTCCAGTCTCCTCCAGAGGCCTTAACCCCCACCCCAACCCTGAGAGCGACCACTCCGATCCTGGGCTGTGTCCTGGGGCTGGTGTTCTGGGGAATCTCCCGGGGCCCAGGCTGCCCCACCTGGAAGATGGCGATCCAGGCATAGCCAATGTTGTCAAAGTTGATGGCGCCCTTGAAGGGGTTGTGCTCCCCCGCTGAGCAGTTGGTGTAGTACTGGTTCCAGTTGACACAGGTGGTATTGCTGGAGCTGTTGTAGGCCTCATAGTCCAGACCACAAGGTGGGCCACCGCCCCCCTCCCCACGCAACGTGGGCACGCTTCTGCAGGACCGCATGCCGTTCTCGCGTGGCTGGGAGCAGATGAAGGGGCTCTCATCCTCATTCTCTGTCTGGTAATAGCGCTCCAGGTCCACGCTTAGAGGGCTGCAGGATGGGAAGGGGAACAGGGGTGAGGCTGGGGAGTGGGCTCTCCAGGGAGAGGGCCCAGGAAGAAAGAGATGGCATGAGTGCTCGAGGCACACAGGGTAAGCAGGGCAGAACCAAGAATGGGGAAGGGACTGGGCAGGGAAGGGATTTGTGGGCACCAGGAGCATGAGGCCTGAGTGGGGAGACTCCAGACTTAGGATGTTGGAAGGTCACATACTAGAATGGTGGTTTTCAAATGTTGCTGCACATTAGGATCACTGGAGGGGTTTAAAAAATCTCTGCATCCAAGCTGAGCCCCAGACCAACGAAATCAGAATCTCTGGAGGTGGCACCCAGGCATCAGTACTTTTTAAAACTCCCCAGGTGGTTCCAACGGGTAGCCAAGTTCGAGAACCAGATATGTCTCAGATGTTAGAACAGGTTTGTCGGTAGCAACTGGAAGTGAGGAACTGGTGGGGGGTGCCCCAGCCCCACCACCACTCCCAGGTCCTCCCAGACCCTGTCCACCACTCACAGGCTGAAATTCTCAGGTAGGAAGCATCGATTCCGAAGCAGCCCTGCCCACAGCTGGACGCCGACGATGCCAAAGATGAAGAAGACGAAGAAGCAGAGCAGCAGGACGTTGCCCAGCATGGGCAGTGTGTCCAGCAACAACGTGACAAGGATGCGCATGCCTGTGGGGGCAGAAGCCACGCTGGGGACACCAGGCTGGCCGGGCTAGGCTGACTGCCACGGCCCGGCAGCACTCCTGGAGGGGCCCCACCAGGGACTCTGAGGCTGAGACGGCCCGGCTCAAGCTGGAGGGGAGACCAACAGACACCTCTGACTCCCCAGATAGCCTCTGCAGCCCCTTACCCCGACCCACTTCCCCTTGTGGCTTGCCCATAGTAATCTGCACCGTACCACTGACAGTGAGCTAGGGAAATTGTGGCCCCTCCTAACTCTCCCAACATCATCACATGTGGATAATGTCACTCCCAATTTACAGATGAGAAGTCTGAAGCTCAGAGAAATGACTTGACTCACCCAGTATCACACAGCTGCTAAGTGTAGGTGCCGGAACTTGAACCCAGGCTTTGGGCTTCCGAATCCCTCTCCAACACACACCCACACCCGCACACACTCACACGCACACTCCCTACCTACTTCCTTCTCTCAACAGGCACAGTCACTTGACCTTTCTAAGTTATCACCACCAGAGTCATTAGGGAAACTGAGGCAGCGAACTCCAGGAGGAATGACAGTGGGCAGGAATCTCATTTTGAGAGCCAGCTCCTAGGCTGGGGCCAAGATGCCCTGTGCGTCACTACGGCTCTGAGCCCCACTGCTCTGAATCTATTCCCTGCGTGGTCCAGATCCCCAAATCAGGACCTGAAGAGACACAATACTGTCTTCTCAGAAGTCCATCAATTTACAACCCCCTCCACAGGGAAAGCCACTGAAACCCCCTCCTCAAAAGCCCTATTAGGGTTACTGCCCTCTCACTGCATTCCAGGTCTAGAACCCAATCGGCCCAAATGGTCTGAACCAGCCCCCAGTTTGCCAAGCCCTCATCAAGCAGACAGATCTCTAATGGCTGGCTTCACCCTCAAAGTGCCATCTATGGCCCCCTGCCCCCTCCAGAGCAAAAGCTGCTAAGCAGCAGCTAATTAACCCTCTTGGTGACTGCAGTGCCCAGCCCCGCCCCTGCCAGCCCAGTCTTCTCACTCCCTCCCCCTCCTCCTACCCCACCCCCCTTCAGCTTCTCTGTGCTCCAACTGAGATCAATTCCTCGGGGTTTGTATTAAGGGAATTACACCGGTGGTTAGACAGAGGCCTATAAATCTGCCAGCCATCACCTGGGGCGGGAGAGGAGGCAAGGCATGCCCCTCTTCTGGAGCTCCTGTTAACACCAACACACCCCAAGCCCCAGAGGACACGTTCAACAGCTCTGCCCTCCCAGGGGCAGCAGCAACATCACACTCACACACACATACACACACACACACACACACACACACACACACACACACACACACAGAGCGCAGGGGGCTGCTGCATCAGGTACACAACCAGGCACTGAGCCCCAGAAACATGCGTTCCCCGCCAACCACCCCACTTCTAGGACCACAGCAGGGACCATCTGCAGCTTGTGTAGGTTGGGGAGTTGCAAAGGGGCCTGAGCAAACGGAGGGGGCAGGATGTAGGGGGAACCAGAGCTGCCAAAGCCTGGCTGGCTCCAGAAACCAATGCAGTTTAATTTAGATAATGGGCCCGGCAGTTGCTGCAACGGGTTGGAAGGCGGTGGGAAGGAGGAAGGGGACAGAGGCGGAGGGTGAGACATGGAGTGGCCTTGTCTTGAGAGAAGTCATGTTCAGCGTGGCCAGCATGTCTCACCAGCAAGAACCAGATTGTATGAGAGGCTGTTCTGGCTAGAAAAGGCCATTAGCACCTTGCATCCACTCCTTGTCTGTCAGCCTCTCCAGTCCCCACACCTCTATCCTCCCAGGGGGAGTGGTCATCTAGCTGAAGGGAAAGGCTCATCTGAGATGTTTCTGAGATTCTGACCTAAAGCCAGGCTAAAATGAGGCAGGGTCTTCCCAGGTAACTCCCATAGTGCCACAGTCAGAGATCCATTTTGTTCCAGCAACCCCAGCTCCCCGCTGAGCCCTTCTCTGATGGGGCCTGTGAGGGGTCAGGTGAGGACACAGTGGTAGAGGTGGGGTCTGAGATTTCCACATTTCCTCCTGGGGCTCTCTTCAGGGGCTGAGGGCTGAGGGGTCACTCACTGGGCACCCGGTTAATGGCCCTGAGCGGTCGCAGCACACGGACTGTCCTGACAGCTGAGAAGCTGACGTTCTGCAGGTCCAGCGAGTACTCCAACATCCTGCAGGGAGGGGCCCAAAGGGAGGCCCTTTGAGTCTGAGGCCACGGTGGGGTCAAAAGAGGTCAATGAGGAATCCTGCTTTAAGGGCAGCAGGACGACCTCTGAGTCCTTTTTCTCCTTCACCAAGGGACCCTGAAGATCTGGCTCTGTCTGGGGGACAAGGCTACCCCCAAGACAAGGACAGACTGCCCATCAGAGAAGGGGGCAGAATTAGGAAGAGGGCCTTGGAATTTAGAATATAGGCTACAGTGCTAGAGGCAGGGCAGCCTCAGATCCTCAGGAGACAGCCCAGGGAGAAAGTGGTGCTGTAACTGGGCTGGAGCTGGGAGGTCAAAGGCCCAGAGCCCTGAACCTGGGGAAGGGACCGATCTGATCCATTGCTCTCCCACCCCAGCCCAGGCCCTCACCCTGCAATGACGATGAAAAAGTCAAGCCGGTTCCAAGTGTCTCCCAGGTAACACTTTTTCCCAAAGATGCCCAAGGCCACCATCTTCACCACCATCTCCACGGCGAAGAAGGCAAAGATGAAGTCATCAAAGGCCTGATGTGGGGACAAGAGGTGGCTGAAACTGAGAAGTGGGTGAGGGAATACCCTTTAGTCCCACCCTAGCCCCCACCAGTTGGGTCAGGGCCTCTTGCAGAGGAGTAGGGGGTATTAAGATTAGGAGGGGCCAACCCCCAACACACACACACACACACACACACACACACACACACACACACACTCACCTGCAGGATCCGGCAGCGCTGGGAGTCACAGGCGATGTCCTCACACGGCCGGAACATGCCCAGGGTCACACAGTTGAGAAGGATGACCAACATGCTGATACGCTCAAACCAGGTACAGGCAGTCAAGGAAACAGCTGGCCAAGGCTGGAGCTGAGGCCAGCCCCCTGCCCTGCCCTAACACCTCCTCCTTGTTTACCTCCTGGCTCCATCTGAGGCTAAGCAGGTGTGGTGCCAGGGACCTGACCTACATGTCAGACCAGCCCCCAGCCCCAGGCTCCCCATCAGAGAAGGGGAGTCCCACCTTGGTCATCTCACCTCTCTGGACCTAGCTTCCTCATCTGTAAAGGAAGACAAGCCACAAATACCCTGACTATTTGCACAAGTCATTTGGGGAATAAATCGATCATGCCTGTGGAAATGCCAGACACCATGAGTTTGCTGCAGAATCTGAATCCTATTCTCCCTACCTCACAGGGTAGATGTGAGAAGCAAATGAGATACTGTATATGAATGTGTTATACAAACCTAAAGTCGGATTATGCCTGCCTTACAGTTTACCAAGCACTTTCACACAATGCCACAGTTGATGCTCACAACAGCCCTCTGAAGTATCCGGGCTAGATCATTTTCTTCCCCAAAACTCGAGGAAGTTGAGGCCCAGGAATGCCAAAGTCATATGCTGAAGGTCACCCGAGAAGCCAGGATGAGACAGTGGTTTCCAAGCTCCTGATCTATGATAGTTTCCTCTGTACACCATAGCTGCTCAGGCAGGCAGAACTGCCTGTCATGACCACCCTGGCACTAGGTGGAAGGTAGACGTCCACAGCTGCAGTCCCCCTTGCTACAGCACCAGAGCTCGGGGCTCCCTCTTCCACCACCAGCCTCCCAACCTCTCAACACCCTCAAATGACCACTAGGCACATTCACACATTTAAATATTGAGGACCCATTATGTGTCAGGCACCATGCCGGGCACAGCTCCCAAGCCATGCAGAGTGGACAATGTCTACCCCCTCCCCCAAGAGGCCATTGCCACCATCACATCTGCTTGTGGCTTCCAGCCCAGACTAGCCAAAACAGCAAGTGGGAGGGAGGGGTTCTTTCTAAACCCTGGGTCTTTCCACACAGTGGATTCTATGGAGTGACTCATTTCCAGCCCATCAGCAGGAGAATGTACAAAAGGGCCTCTGGACCTTAGGAGGTTCCAGGCACTGGACTCACAGTTAAATGACCAAGTATCCTATTTTCTTTAAGGAAAATATGAGAAGGGTGGGGAAGAGTAAAGACACTAGAAAAGATCAGAGAGCAGGAGATTGGGGAAAGGAGACCAGAGACCCCCCAGGGGAATGGGGATGGGGGAGGTACTGTGGCAGCTCCTGGCATGACCCACCAAGTCAGACTCTGTAGGGCCCAGAGCAGGTGGAATCTTGCTTCTGGAATGAGAAGGCTTCGGCCAGGCATGAAGAGGCCAGCAGGAATGTTCAGGAACCTATGGACCTTCCTCCCAGCTGGTTCCAGTCACAGGCCATCTCTTCTGACTCCCAAGCCACATGCCCTCCCCCACAGCCCATGACTCCCTCAAACCCCTGACAGCCCTCCCCCTTCTCTTCTCCACCACCCAGGCCCCTTTCCCCTAGACTCACATCCCTGCTCGCCACCTGTCTGTGGTACCGAGTCCTAAGGCACTGCGGTTTCCCTAACCCCCACCTCCTTACAAGAATAAGAGGGTTTTTTTGTTTTTTAAAAAAAGTTCTAGGTTTTTGGGGGCAAGGAGATGGGAGGGAGGAAATAAAAAGTGTTCTGTTTCCATGAAATTGTTTTTCTGAGTGGAGCCAGAGTGCAGTGGATCTCTCCCCAGAATGGGGGTCAGCCAGGGGTCACCCTGGAAAAAGGGGGACAGGAAGGGAGCCATCATTTGGAAAGGGAAAGACCCCGTTACCCTCAAGAACTGGTCTGCTTTCCCCACACAGGTCCCCTCCTCTCCTCTGCAGGGAAAGGGGAGTCTGGAAGGAGCCCATGTGAGCGAATGTCTCTATGTGGAGGGGCAGATCTCTGAGGAAGAGGGGCTCCCAGGACATCTAATTGGACCCCTCTAATGGCACAGTTCCACCATATTAGTCATCTGTGCACTTGTCAACCTCCCCTGCTGAGCTGGGGCTCCTGACAGGCAGGGGCATTCCGATACGTCTTTATATCCCCTACAGAGCTTGCTCTAGTGCCTGGCACGGAGCAGATGATCCATACCTGGGAAGACTGAATGAATGAATGAATGAATCAACCAATCAATCAATCTCTTTGCCTAGAAGCCAGATGTGTCTCCCCATTCAGGTTTTCCTGCCTTGTTTCCCTTGATAGAGGTGAACTGCTTATAACTGTGGAGGAAGGTACAGAAGTGACCTCCACAGAGGAGCTGCCCCTCTTTCTGTCCCCACCTTACTCAGGCTCAGACTGGAGGCCTCTTACAGGCAGAGTCTGCCCCCAGATAACCTCATGCACAGCTCTGGACCATGGCAGCCCCTTCTTAAGGGTCCCCTGGCAATTCAGCCTACTTCCAGGTAACATCCTGCCCACCGTGTACAGCTCTCCTTCCACGACAGGTAAGCATAAATGGACAGGGAAGAGAACAAGGTACATGACAATTTGGGACAATCTGAATAGAGGAATAATTAACGGGGGGGGGGGGGGTGGTCTTTCACCCTTCTCAGATAGGGCTCGTTTCCTTGGGAACCTGGCAGTATGTCACTGTGTGATGTTCTTCTGTTGCCATAACGACAGGAGGATGTGTCACCAGGTGGTGTGGATTTGTTGTCATGGTAATTAAAGAGACCCTTCTCACATGATCTCCTTTACTGAGGCTGTTATCTTGTCCTTATGCAGGGGAGGAGAATCAGGGAGACCCACAGGTTATCAGGTTGGGGGGAAACCATGTGACAGATCCCCATGGTAACCAAGGGAACGGGGGACACTGGTTGCCATAGTGACTATGAGAGACCTGTGCAGTCACATGTCTACTGTTGCTATGGTGACTGTCCGGGCTGGAGTGGATCCCAAAGAGGGGGTAGGAGAGGGGAGGATCTTTCTTCTCCCCACAACCCACCATCAAAAGCAGAGAAAAAGGAAACGGCAGAGAGAGGAACCCCACTTCCATCCCTCCTCCTTTCCTCCCTCGTGGGAGAGAGAACTAGAGCATGTTATCTCCACAAATGAGTCCTCTCTGTGGGGCTTTATCTAGATAGAGCCGTTGCTTAGCCTGGCAGCCACAAGGGTGAGCAAAGCAGGGAGAGGAGGGGGGTGGCCGGGACACCTCTAGGGACACAGGGGCTCTGGGCATGAGCTGAAAGGGAAGCAGGCCCTCCAGTTGCCCCATTCCCACCCAGGAGACTGGAAATGTGAGACTAAGGAACAGTGAGGAGAAAATGGGCCTGGACCCAGGAGTCCTGGCATTCTAGTGAGGAGGTAGCGGGCTAGGTCCTTGCCTCACCCATCCCACAGAGAGGCTGGTGTCTATCGGATTCGGCAACCCCTAAGGGTAACGGGATGTAGGGGCTCTGCCCTGCTCCAAAGCTCAAAGGGGGATTCCCCCAGCAGAACCCCTCCCATTCCTACAAGCCCATTTCCCTGTGGTTCCCCCCCACCACGCTTCAGTGTGTGGGTGTAGGGGGAGAGAGGCTTCCAGCTGAACTGAAAACTGAAGCTCACAGAAAGGCAGCCGGCTCCACCCAGAGACAGAGCCATGAGACACAGAGACACAAGAGAGGCGGCCCGCTGGAATCTTTGGGAGGGGAAATAGGCCAGAAATCTGATTCAAACGTCTGTGACTCTGTGTGTGTGTGTGTGTGTGTCTGTGTGTGTGTGTGTGCGCGCGCGCGTGCGCATGTCTCCGTGTGAGCAGTTGTGTCTGTCGCCATCCTGGCTGAGGCAGGCAGGGCGGGGTGAGTGCTGGGCGGGAGCAGGCGAGGGTGAGGGGGGGCTGTGTGGTGGGGGTAATCCCAGGAATGGTTCCAACTGGCACTACGGGTGATGGGGAGTCCCCCAACAGAGCAGCGGAGCGGAGCGGGTGGGAATGAGTGTATGTGTGACCCAGAAGGAAAGTGGGCCTGGGGCAGAAAGCATGCCAAGGGGTGATCTGGCCCCCCTCAATCCCATTCAATTCTCCTGCCCCAGTCCTTCTCCCCAGAATCTCCTCTGGCGAGCTTAGGGTTTGGAAATTAAATTGGAGGAAGGAATTGATGAAGAGACAGAAAGAACACTCCCCCCACCATTTCCTCTGAGGACAGAAATGGAGAATTCTCCCTAGGTAAGAGAAATAGGCAGACTTGGGGCACTGGGACAGTGTGGCAAGGAAGGCTCCAGAAACTCCTGTTCCCCCACCCCTCTAGAGGGACACACTCAGACACACAGAGTGACGCACAGGCACTCACTCACACTCACTTCTGGAAGCCATTAGGGCTCCTGCCGTTCAGGCCTCCCCCCCTCCTCCCCCAACTCCTGGCAGGCTCCCCTCTCCCCCTCTGGCCCCCCTCCCACTCCCCCTCTCTCGGCATCCCAAATGCCAGCCTGTGATTTCCAAATGAGAAAAAGCTGTGCTGGGCTCTGAGCTTGGAGAAACTCCTACACAAACTTCCAGATGTGACACAACAGCCAGAGAGGGAATGCGGAGGAACTCCTCCCCGAGAGGGGAGCGCACTCCCTCACACTCGCAGGAACACGTATTGGAAAGGCCAGCATGCTCCCCTCCGATCTGAGGCAGGGGTGACTGTCTGCCAGTACCCCTGCTCTCCACACCAAAGCTTGCACTTCTGTACCTTTTGCTGTTCTCCCTTCCCAACACACACACACAGACACACACACACACACACACACACACACACACTTCCTACCTGGGTCTAGATCTCCTCTCTAGGAAACCTGGTCTCTTAAAAAGGTGAGGCCAAGAAGTAGAATGTGCCAAGAAAAGCCTAACTAGCTTCAGTTAGTTGGGGGGTGGAGGGGAGTGTCCTTATGTCTCTCAGACTCAGAGGTGTAGATGAACCCTCTTGAAGCCTGGGGGGAGTCACAGATACCACAAAGAGAAAGAGGGAGGCCCAGAAGGCAGTTCAAAGCCCCTCTGGCAGCAAAAATACAGGTGTCTCCTGGTACTTGGGTAGGATGGCAGTGGTGAGGGGCAAAGCTTAGGCAGTCCTCTGCCAAAAAAATTGTTCTCAACCCATCCTCAGCCAATCCAGGCTTCTCCAGACCTAGTAACGCTGATGCCCCACACCCCAGACTACCACTCCCCTGGGGGAAGCTGCTCCCCAACTCCCAAGGTGAGTGCTATCCTCCTACCTCTCTTCTCCCATGCCAGGCCTCAACACTTGCCCCCGCCCAGACCCCTCAGTGAAGGAGTCTGCCTCCAGACCCTCCACTAGCACCTGGAGATAAGGCAGGTGAGAAGAGATGCTAGCCTAGAGGTCTGTTTTCAGGGAGAGGGGAGAGAAGAGCTCTCTCTACCTCCCCTGGGACCCTTGAGAAGGAGGACATAGAGGTTGATGCTTTTTCCCATTCGTGGAAGGCGTAAATGGTTAGGGGCAGAGAGGAGAGTTGCTCATAACCCATCCTTTCCAGCCATATCAGTTCTCCATCTCCATCCCTGCCTTGGAGAAAGGGGCCTGGGGGTGGGGGCTCAAACCTCAAGATTGTGCCTATTCAGCAGGAACACAGACCTCTGAGGCCTTCACCTCTCTTTCTGGAGCTCAGAGAGAAAGGAAGAAGGGGCAGGGGATGAGGAGAGGGTGTGATGAGGGGAGCTTCCCAAAGACCCACAAGGTGTAGAGGATGGGGGTGGGGGGCCATAAGCTCATCCCTGCTTTGCGCACTAGAGGCAGCAGAGCTGCAGAGAGTGAGGGCGGCACCAACCTTCCCACCCCCCCTTCTTCAAAGCAGAGTCCCGGCTAGGCTCACAGGGGCTACAAGGGAGACCTGGGGTCTCTCACCCTGGGTCTATAAGAACCTCTGAGCTGGAAGGAAGGAGCCCAGAGAAGCTGTCCAGACCTGGGACTGCAGCAACACCTCCCCTCCACCTTTCCTTCCCCCGGTGGCAGGACACACCGGGGAGCCTGGGGCCAGGCGTCTATCAAGTGGTGCTTTGTGCTAGGGGCTGACCAGGCTGGGGTCTCCCCTACCACTCCAGCCTGGGCAGACAGGGGGCAGTGCTAAATCCATCTCCCTGGAATGTGGGGCTTGCATTCCCCAAATCTATCTGCGGAGTCTACACTGGGGTGGTAGACCCGAGTCCTCCTTAGTGAACACACTCACAGTATTACGGTCCCCCCAATACTTTCGCAGGCCTGCAGTCCCCCATACCTGGTCTGCAGGAGCACTCTTTATTTGTGAAAGGAGAGGAGTAACCTGGACCAGCTTAATCCCATCCCCCACTTGCTAAAAAAGCTCTTGCCACCGTCTTTCCCTCCACAAGAAAAATCCAGCACAAAACTCCCCAACCCAACCTTAAGCATCCTGCATCGAATGGAGATCGGGTAGAAGGAGGCACTCGCGGCACTGGGCTCTAGCGGAAAGGGGTTCCACTCCCAGCTCTGGGGGCAGACAGCTCCCCTCCACCACATCTTGTTCTCATTCTGCGCCCCTGACATCAGCCGCCGCCGGAATCTCCTTGTTGTGCCTCCAACCCGCGAGGTGGGGGGTGAGGTGGGCCAGGACCTGTTCCCCGCCCCCCCAACATCTCCCTCTGTGTCAGTAAAAACCTCAGCCTCAAGGACTAGGTTGGGGGATCAGACCCTAGAATCCGCCGCAAACTTTGGGGCGGGGGAAGGAGGGAAACCCAGGAGATTGCGGTCCCCCCTCCTCCGTCCCCGCAGCTTCCTCCCCACCGCCTCTCCCCCTCCACACCAAACTCGGAAACCAAACCCAGCTCGCTAACCGGCGCGGGCAGAGTACAGCTCCCAGGCTCCCGAAGCTTCCCACATCTGGAGGATGACGACCCTCCCCTGCCCACATCTGGAGGGCATCCAGCTGCGAGCCAGCGGGGCACAGCTCTCTTCTCCTGGCCTGGATTCCACCCCCCACCCAGGAGGACTGAGATGTGTGTAAGGAGGTGGGGTAAGCCCGGGTTACCGACGAGACCTGCTCACGTCTCCGCTCCCACTCTGGTGCCCCCTCCCCTCCCTGGCAGTCCCCCTCTCATCCGCCCACCCTCCGGGCTCACTTCTCCGACTCACCTGGCGGTGGATCCTCTTACCCCCGGCCCCCGGTGGTGCGGCCCGTCCCCCTTCCGACCCCGCGCCTGGCCGTCGTGCCCCGAAGGATATGGGTTACAGACCGTGCGGAGACACCAGCTCCGCGGGCGGCTGTCCTGGCTCAAGTAGAAGAAAACCACCGGGGCCAGCGCCGGGTACGGCAGTCCCTCCGCCTCGGAGTCCGCGCTGCCCGGGTCCTTTTCTGCTGACCCCGGCCCCGGCCGGCCCCCGGCCCCCGACAGGTCGTTGAGCCGCATGAAGCTCCGGGGCTGTCCCGACTCCTCTGCGCCCGCTCCATCCTCCTCCTCGTCCATCCTCTGGCCAGCCGGGGCCCCGGGCGGTCCGGAGAGGGGCAAGCGGCGCCCCTCCGAGGAGGTGTCCTCACGCAACCCGGGAGCCCCGGCAGGGGCACATCTGGGGGGCTCTAGGGCGCAAGCTGAGCCCCCGGGAGGGCCAGTTCAGTCCAGCTCCCCCTGCCCGCAGGGGCATGCTGCCCGCGGGGCGCCGGGGCGCAGGGAAACCCCGCCCGGCGCAAGTCCCGCTTCCCCTGCGCCCCTGGGGCTCCCCGGGCCAGCCGGCCGGCTCCCCCTCACTTTGTTCCGGCTTCTTCGCTTCGCGCCCAGGCTCCGGTTGCCGGATTCGGCGCTACCTTCGGCGAAGCGGCCCCGAGAGGGCGAGCGAAAAGGGGGGCAGCGGCGAAGGGCGGGGGTCCGGGGAGGGGCGCCCCCTCTTCCCGCGGCGCAGCTGGAGCCGGATCTAAGGGGTCAGCATCGTCCCGGCTCCGCGCCAGGCGGCGGGGGAGGGGAGGAGGGATCTCTTTAGGGGTGGGCTTGGAGGGGGTGGGGGCGGCTCCTTCCCCCGCCCCGCGGCGGGCTCACGGTCCGGGAGGGGCGGGGAGACGGTGGGGGGCAGTCCCGGGCAGGAGTGGAGGCGGAGATGCCGCCGCCGCAGCCGCCGCGGTGGCTGCCGCTGCCGTAGCTGTCGCCGGCGCCACTGCCTCCTCCTCCGGCCGAGACGCGGAGCGAGCGAGCGAAAGCGGCGGCGAGGAGCCCGGCGCACACCACAGCTGGATCCCTCACTCCAACTTCAAGCCTCGGCCCCGCCCCCAGACAGCCCCGCAGCCAATCGCCGGACGCCGCCGGCCCCGAACCGCGCGTCCATTGGCGGTCCGCCGTGGCAGTGCGGGCGGGAGCGCCGGGAGAGAACCACAGCTGGAATCCGATTCCCACCCCAAAATCCAGGACCGCCCCTCTCTCCTCCCCTTGCCCCTGGGTCCGCTCCCGAAGGCTGGAGCCAATCAGACTGCTGCCCAGACCGAACCCACTTTCCTATTGGCCATTGGGGTCTTTGGGACTCCCTTGGAGGGAGCCCGAAGAATCAGAGTATTCGGCGCGGGGTCCTGGCGTAGCGCCGCAGGCCCCACGCATCCTTTGTCCACGACCCCTGATTTGGGCCGCAGCCGGAGGGCGGAGCTCAGCTCTGGGCGGGCCTGGGGAAGAAAAGAGACAGGCGGCACGGGGGTGAGGGTTGTGACCGGGGGTCCCAGAGCGAAATCCCAGGTCTCCACCAGGTTAATCTCCCACCGTGGAATTGAGCTTGGCTGCCGTACTGGGGAAGTGAAGGAGCGGAGCTGGATGTCCCGGGGGTGGGGCTTCAGGCTGCAGGGGGCCGGTCTTGGAGAAACGGGCGGAGCTCGAGAAAGGCTGGGACAGGCATGGTCTGGGCGTGGCCTCCACAAATCTCTTGGGCTTATTGGTCATGCTCCCGAGTCCAGTTCTGAGACTTTGACCCTGACCTCGTAGCCCTAACCCGCTGGACCTGACCTCACGTTGAAGCTTCTGGCTTCATCCCCTTACCCCTAGGGACCTTTTGAAGGGCGTGGACTCCACGGAGGGGATTCGTGCTTGAACACGTGGCCCCAGGCAGGTCGCGCTGGACCGCAGAGCCCGGATCCCCAGGAGCGACTGCGGAGCAGGGCAAGGACCCCTAAGAAGGAACCTGTGGGGGTCTCGAGTGTGTGGGAAGGGGCGGAAGCACAGAGCTGGGCTTTATCGACTCGACCTTCAAAGTCCCCACCACCGCCACTCCCCAACTTCGTGCCTCAGTTTCTCTTAAGTCCCTATGTGGCTTAGGGAAAGAGTGTCCGCGGAACTGGAACTTCGCGGGTCTGCCGCCTTCACTCACCTCCACTCCACCGGCAGCGGGCCCTCGTGGGTTTGTGCTTTCCACGCGCGCACACGCACGCGCAGACCCCGGCCCTTGCCCCGCCTACCTCCCCAAGTTCTGGGGCTCAGTCGACTCTAGCTCTCTCCTGCCGCCGGCACCACTCCAGAAAGCTGTGGGTAACCGGGAGCGGAGCGCCGCGGGTGTGCTGGGCGCCGGTGGAGGGGGAAACATCGAGGATTAGACGCCGGGAAGCACTTCCCCAACATCTGCGAGAGGTAGACACGGCGGAACCTAGTGGGTCAGTTCCCTCTCCGGAGATTTTGGGGCGCTTACGCCACTGCGGAGAGGGGGAGGGATGGGCGGGATGACCTCCATCAACACCCCTCACGTTGTTGAGGCCATCACCCCTGGGCGTTGTTCACTCTCCTAAGGCTGCGCCACCCACGCAGCCCCCGCGCATCTCCCGCTACCGCAGAGGGTTGGGGTCGTCTCAGTTCCCACCCCGGCCGATGGGCGGAGGGGATGGGGGAAGTGGCAGAGTGGCTGCTGCGCCGTCGTCTCCCTGGTTGCCCTTTCGCCGAATCCATGCACCGAGTTGTGCAAATGAGGCCGAGCGGGCTCATTTGCATTTCATGCTAATGAGCAGATCCCCTAAGTGCCTTTTTTTCCTGGCGGGAGTCTCTGCTCTCATTCTGAGTATGCGGCGCTGGAGTCTTGAACTCCATGCCGTCTTCTGGGAGAGGGGGGCTATTTATGGTTGCTCCGCGCGTCTGACACCTTCTTCCCTCCCGCGAGTCCGCAGTCTGCCGGGTCGGCCTGCCCTTCCCGCCAGGATAGAGGCCCCGGGGCTGGCGCGAGAAGTAGGGACACTCATCACCTCTTCTTTGCAGAGGGGAAAATGAGGGCAGAGAGGCTGGCCCAGCCCAATGATCAGGTCCCCTGGTGGTCAGCAGGCCCCACACCCTCATCCATCATCCTGGCCACCCCTGGACTCTGGGCTGAACTCTGTTCTAGAACACGCCTGAAAGGAGGGCAGGCACAAACGCACCATCTGGATAAACTGAGATCCACATGCACTTCCCTAGGTTCAGGACCTAGGGAAGACCGGCCAGGCAAGACAGGATCTGATCCCTGTACTCAGTATGTTGGGGCTGATGGCCAGTCGGAGATGCTTACCCTTATCCTGAGTGCCAGAGAGGAGGCAGAGGCAGGACCCACAGGGAAGGCAAAGAAGACCTGAAACCATCTTTATTTCACTCCAGCCCTCCAAGCCTCAGCTCTGACATCACCTCCTCAGAGTGGCCTTCTTTCCCGCAAGTATTTCAATGCCTCTTAAGTGCCAGGGTGCTTAGGATACAGCACCGAGCCAGACACAAGTCTGGAACTTCACAGCACCTAGCGCAGGCTGGGATTTTATGTTTGTGTTTGCAGTAATGAAATGCTTGTCTCACCATCTAGGCTCTGTGTTCCCAGAGGGGCTATGTTCATTTTGCTCACCAGGGCCTTATCTAGTGTCAGGCACAAAGTTGTTAGGTGAATGAATGACCTCAGGCAGGGAAAAGTAAACAAAGGGACAAGAAATTCCTTTCTTTGGGCCTCAGTTTCCCAACAAAGACGCTAAGCCTAAGAGCTTTTCTGGGTTTGAGGAAGAACTCCCCATATATACCCTGCTCAGGCAGCCCCTCCAACCCCCTCCAGCCCTGCCTTTACCCCTCCCTCACAGCCCATCTGGCTCCCTGCGGAGCTAAGATAATCTTCCCATCTGTGATACCCTTTGCTCAGGGATGATACAACCATTATCCCATTTAGTCACCTTAACAGCCCTGAGAGCTGAGTGGGCGGCCCCCCACCTTTCAGATAAGGAAGGGGGGTGCTCAGAAAGATGAAGTTACTTAAGTGACTGCCCAAATGGTATGGCCCTGTCTCCAGTGACCCTGGCCCACAGGTGTTCCGCTGGTATAACTGGGTGCACACCCAAGAGGGACCAGCAAAGGGGAAGGGATACTACAGGAACTCTTACAATCCTGCTTCTGAGTGAGATTTATGTGGGACCCTGCCCTCTTTAGAAATTCAAGCACTGCCCTCTTTAGAAATTCAATTCAACTAACCCTTTAAGGAGGTAACTCCTTCTTCCCAACCCATTTACAAAATCCCATCACCGCGTGCACGTCTCATCCCAGGAGAGAGAGAGGAGCTGCTGAGCAGAAAGCAGACTGGCTGCAGGGACAGAAGACACCAAGGGCACCCTCTCTCACAGCTGCGCCTGGACCTCCTGCGAGAAGAGGAAGCCTTAGGGGTCCTTATTGTACCCTGAAGACCCCAGAGAGAACCAGAAGTGCTGAGGGGTTGCAGGCCGGTCTCTTACCTTCTCTGGGCCTCGAATATTTATCCATATGAGGCTAAAGGTACCTGCCTCACCAACTCATTCATGAGGGTCAATGGGACGACAGTGGCAAGAGGGCTTGGCACACTGCCCAGACTGTTCTAAAGCCAGGGCTGGGGCTGCCAAAAAGGCCACCTGTGCTTCACCATGCTCCATCCTCCTTCCCTGCCACCTCCCCAGGCCAGGCTCCACTTGTCCAGCTCTCTGACTTCCTGGCAAGGTTGAGTGGGCTCCAGCTAGGAAGGGGCCAGCTGACCTTGTTGGCCGGAGCACTAATCCCCTCCAGATGGGCTGGTGGCTTGCAGTGAGGGCCTGGCTGCCCAGACAGAGTTGACTCTGGTCCCAGTGACTATGTGTGGCTGTGTGTGACCGTGTGAAGGGAGCAATTCCATCCAGTCTCCCGGTTCCTTCCTGCTTCGCTCCTCCCCACTGCTGACATCCCCCACAAGCAGTGGCCCCATGAAGGCCTTCTTGTCTCTAGTAGCCTCTTTTGGCTTTCTGTGTTGCTTATCTTGGGGGCTGAGGATGCCTGGCTCAGCCGATTCCCAAAGGCCTCAGAGAGACAGCTCCTCCCCATGCTTTCCCCACTCCCTGTCAGCCCCATCACTCTGCACCTGCCCTTCCCAAAGCAATTGTCCCAGTCCCCATCCCTCAACCCATGGAAGCTAGATGGGGTTTCTGGAGCCTGGGAAGATGTATGTGTCAAGGACGGGACTCAGGAGCATTTCCCAACATTTAGGGGAAAGAATGAGGTCGCAGGAAGACTTTCTCTGCAGCAAGAAGGACTCAGATAGATTTGGGGAAGGACTTCCAACCCAACATGTTCCAAACAAAAGAGAACTCTTTCTTTGGACCAGCTTGTATGAAAGCAGATGGATGGACAACATGGCCTCCTGCAAGGAGGACTTGCTTCCATCTTTTCGAGGCTGGGGCTAGATGGACACCCCAAAAGAAATGTATTAGTCGTGACAATAGCAGCTCCCACAATGCACCAGGGCATATGCAACGTCACCATTCTGTGAAATATAAAAGCTCGTATAAAGCATCTCTGCCCCTTCTCCTGCTCAACACAAGAAGACAATGGGGAGGGGAAGGCAGGTTCCCTTCTTAACCTCTTTCTGAGGGCAAGGATTGGGCTTTCCCCCTCCTGGGCCAGTCCACACCCCCATGCCCACCCGTGGGCATCTTTACTTGGTTTTAGTCCCCTGACCTCAGTTCAGGGACTAAATTCATTCAGGCTACAATGACCATGGAAGGGGCAGGGGCAGTCTGCTGACCTCTGGAAGATGAAGGAGAAATGGGAGAAGGCAGAGGAGTCAGGTGGGGGCTCCCAGAGGAAGCAGCCCTGAGCTGCTGGTTCCCAGGCTGGAGCCTGAAGCCCCTCCCTCATAAGCAAAGCTGAGGCCCTCAGGTTACCACGGGACACTGTTAAGTTTATTCTAGGGTGAGTGGGTGCCCAAGGGGGGCAGTGAGTATGGCCGAGGTCACCTGGTGGCAGGGTGCTCAGGGATGGCCACAGGTTCTATAGGGCCCTGCAGGGCCTGAGTCTCTAGTCAGTTGGGATGCTTCACCTTCTGCCCCAGACCAAGGGGGTTGGGGCAGTCATGGATGTAGCAGTTTTCGTAATTCACAGGGATCAGTGATGGGCATTGAGCAGGCTTGATTCTCACATACATATGCAGTGGCCTGGTCTTCCAGCCGTCGGAGGGTACTCAGGAAAGGCAGCTGGCGGGACAGGAAGCTCGAGGGGTCCCCATCAGCCAGAATCAGCACCTAGGGCAGCAGCAGAGCAGGGAGAGTCGCCTGCTAGATTGGGGGGCCCACTGGCAAGGCCCACTGGGAAGTTCCCCCTTCCCAACATTCCGAGGGGGGAGGAGACATTGAGGAGCTGAGGATGGGAGGGGGCAGCTCTAGGGAGGTGGGGGGTGGGGCTCACAGGTTCGGGTACCTTGTTAGGAATGTAGACAGAGTGGACACACTGCACCAGAGCCTTGGTATCCTTGGCCTGGCGGTCTCCACAGATCACGATCTGACCAGAATAGAAAGGTCACTCCAGTGTGTCAGGGGAGGGAGCAGCTGAGCTCTAGACCACCAGGGTTTCCCCATCCTCCCTCCGCCCCACCCTATATTCCTAAGGAACAGGGACTCATCTCAGCTGCCAGGATGAGTTAATGCTTGGCAAGTGGGAACACACACACACACACACACACACTCACACACGAGAATACCGAAGTGGAAATGTCATACGTATACACAATGGTACAGATACAAACACGGGGAGACACACACCCGGAAGACCCAAAGCACACAGGGACCCATCCAGACAGACACAGAGTAGTCACACACACACACACACACACACACACACAGTGGATGCCTACACAGAGGCAGATACCATACACACGAACAGCAGACACACACGCATGCAGGCAGACACAGAGGCAAACCTGCAGATGGGGCATCCACACGCAGACAGACAAACACACACGACGAACACTCACACCAACATCCCCCTCAAAGGTACGTGCACAGAC